CCCCCCCCCATGTCTGAAATCTGTACAGCAGCACCCGTAACCTTTCCATCCATGTGGGTTCCACAGTCCTGGGGGAGCTGGGATCCCCCCTCACCCGCAGGATGGCCTGAGGATAGGACCTGCCCCCAGTCCCCGACACTCAGCCCCTGGGGGTGAGGGACCTCTGCAGGTCATCGCTCCCCCTCCCTCAAAGGAAGTCTGTCCAGGAACAAACGACTCCAGTATCTCTTGGACAGGTCATTGGGAGAGAATGTGCCACTTGGCAACCATGCCAACTGGCGAGCAGGTCCAGAAAGGAGGAAGGAGGGAGCGGGTAACTGAGGGGCAGGGGTGCCATTGCTGCACCCCTGGGACTTGGTGAGCCACCTCTCCAACCAGGTCTCCATCCCTCCCCTTTGCAATGGGAGACAGAACAAGCTCCAAGCAAAATCACTAACTTTGAGTGTCACACAAGCTGCCCCCCCCACTATCTCCCTGTTGGCTGGGCTTCTGGGGCATCCTCACTGCCCTGGAGGACTCCACAGGCCAAGCAGCTGGGAAGGGTATAGGCACGGGGAGGGGTCCCTCACCCAGGAGGCCTGGGGGGCAAGGACAGCACACCCTGGGAGACCTGCAGGAGTGAGGCCCCCAACCCCTAGCCCCCAGGAAGGCAGAATGGAGGGGCCGAACGACCATGCAGAGGTCACTCCAGTCTTTATCCCTCACCTGACCCATTACCAGAAGGCTGGTCTGAGGCCTAAGGGGGAGGAGGTTGCTGGAGGTTTCCTGCAAGGCCCAAACCCCTGCTGGGGAGAGAAAGGAGGCAGCCAACCTCACCTTTTCCTAAGTGTGATCTAGTACGATCTCTCACCCTGAGAGCAAAACCCTGGGTCAAGTCAAGAGGCTGATGAAATAACTGCTCCAAGAAGGAACATTTGCAAACCATCTTCAAGTTCCAAAGAATGTTCTCTGATCAATTCCAACACCTACCCCATAAAGGATTATTATAACTAAGGCTTGGATGGGGTCCAAGAACACCCTCAGCAGAACTGGGATTCAAATCCAGGTCTCTGACTCCAAGTTCTAAATTCTTTCCTCTAATTGCTTAGGGTGAGTCCGAGAAGATGCACAGGGCAGTACACCTGGCGAGGAGAAGCCATTTCTTTAGAACCTTTAGAACAAAGAAAGCATGACCTTGGCAGTCATCCATGAGGCCTATGGGCAGGGCTCCAGATTGGGAGCCAAGAACCCTGGTTTCTGGGCCAGGTGTGACCTGACATATGGGGAGAGCTCCCTAATTGCTCAAGACCTGTTTTCCCAGCTGTAAAATAAAAAGAGAATAGTGGGCTGAGTAAGGGGAGGGGAGGTGCCAGGAACACACAGGATTATGATGATCTTGTAACCTAAGAGGGCAGAAGGCCTCTTGCTCTCCTGAGATCCAGGGTAACAGTTCAACTGCACCCAGGAGGGAGAGGCATTAACTTCGGTGACCTCCTCAGCCTTGGCTGTATGATACAACCATTTAGGGGAGCTTAAGAAAAAAATTTCTCTGCAGATCAACTGAATTTCATCTCTGAGCACTTGTGTTTTTCATCTCTCCAGGTGACTGCCTGATGTAGGAGATGGAAGGGATAGGAGTGAGGGGGTGTGTGGGGGGTGCTTCCATCCTTCCCAAGTCCTCTGAGAAACCCCTACTCTCTCATGACAAGTAAGCAGCAGTCACTTCTCTGAACTGCAATCTGCTATCATCATAACAATACCTTCCTCCCTCCCCACCCCACTGCCTTTCCAATGGTAGGTAGCCTTGGAGGTGGGGCAGGGGACACCCTAGAGCCAAGAGTCCCATTGGCTACCAGAGTCCAGGAGGTCAGACACCTCGGCATCTGGATTTAGGGCAGAGTTGCACCTGCTTCTCCCTCAACAGCTAGTTGCAATTCATTAATTTGTCAGTCACCCCAGAGTCTACCTCCTAACTGGCCAAGATGCCAGGCCTGACTCTCATCTTAACCTACAGGGGAGGTGGCTGGGTGAAGGAAAAGCAAAAATAAATTCAGGAATTGGGAGCAAGTGAAAGGGCCAAGGAGTATGACTCAGCGGATATCAGGGAGCAAGCAGTGTAATGGGGCAATCAACAGTGGGATTAGGCGCTCCAATCTGGCAGAGGGAGGGGCAGCCCGATGCCCACTCTCGAGACCTGGAGTGACCTTACCTAGATTCATTCAGACTCCGCATTGCCAGTACCTGCCCCAGCCTCCTACACACATACACAGACGCGCCCTCTTTCTCTCTCCCTCCCTTCCTCTCTCCCCCACTCTCTTGGATATTAATTAACAAGCCTCATCCCTGCCTCTTTTCTCCTCCAACACTGCATGTCCTACTTCTGCTCTAGTTTTTTTTCCTTTCCCTTAAATCCCCTTGAGGAAAAAGATATCAAAGGAGCCCAGGACTCAGAGGGGATGGCCACCGGGCAGGGTAGCCAGCACTGCCTCGCCCAGGAAGGGCTGGACACATCAGAAGAAGGCCCTCAGCTGCTTATATGCCCAGGGCCCCAGCCTGGGCTGAGCTGCTTCCCCTGTGCGGACTCGGTATCCTGCTGTCTACACAATATGTCAGTAGCAAGTGGCAAACTGTGCCAATGAACAAATAGGCAGGTCCCTAATCCAAAGAGAAAGGTGGTGTGTGCAAAACCTGTTACATTGGGGTCATCACTCACTTCCAGGCTGGACTCTACTGTCAAAACGGGTTGGCCTGGTACCATGGTTACAACTCCGCTTGCACAGTAGGGTCGCCTGGAGAGCGCTAAGTGCTGAGGCCAGAGCCCCAGCTGCTCTGGGATGGGGCCCCAGCTTTGGGTTTTCACCTGTCTGAAGTGCTTCAGCTTCCTACTCTGCAGCAGGGCTGAGAACCCCTGGCCCAGCCACATCAGGATAAGGTGCTGTTTTACTCCGGGATAGTAGCTGAGGTTCTGGGTGCAGGCTTTGGGAGTAGGCAAACCTGAATTCCAAGCTTGGCTCTGTTACTAACTAGCTGAAGCACTAAATTCTTTAAGCTACAGTCTCCTCATCCATAAAGTGTGAATAATATTTCTACCTAACTTGATGAGAGGTGTTCTGGGCACAGAGTAGGCATCAAATATGTGATTCCTGCCATTCTCTTAAAATAACTCCTACTTACACGTAGTCATCAAACAGGCTTGTTCATGAGGAGCCCTAGCTGTGTGCTGTGACTATCTTCCCACTCTTCTCAGCCCACGCACAGCCAGTCCTGAAGGCCCTGGCCTTCCCACCCACAGCTGGGATTTCCGACCTGCCGCCACACCTTCCAGAGCAGGAAGTGGGGTCTGAGCCCCTCCAGGACCACCGATACTAGTGCCAGTAACGAGGTACTCAGTAGCCACCACACACTACAGGTTACCTCTTGTCTCCCTGTCCAGTGCAGACTGGGACGGAGTGGGGTGGGGAAGGGTGGTACACAGGAGTTAAGTGCCTTCCCTGGCTATTAGTCACTAACCTCAGGCATTTGATTTTGACAGTAAAGGTAAGCCCCTGAAAAGCTCTGAAGTGTACACACAGCAGCAGGGTTATTCACGACAAAAAGCACCTCATCCCCACCCTAAGTCTGAGGTTGTCACATCTATGGCTCTCTGGCAAGGAGTGTCACACTTTACCAAAGTAAAGCTTTTAAAGAGCTGACAGGCTGGCAATCAAGATACCCTGTTTTCCCTCCGTCTTCTTTCCCTCCATGTGTCCCTGCCCCAGACCAGGCCCTGCTCTCCTCTCCTACCTTCTCCTATACCCGGTTCCTTCCTCCATAAGTCCTCTCTAAAATCTTGTCTTTCTAGTCATTTGCACAGCTGAGTGCCTTGGCCTTGCAGAGTCCCTCTCTCCCCTGCCCTGGCAGCAGGCCTAGGACCTGAGGCCAGCCCTCTGTTGCCCAAAACCTGCATGGAGCCTGAGAGGGAGAAAGAGGGGTGCAGTGCTTCTGGAGTGGGGTAAGCCCTGCAGAGAAGACTGTTGGGCCTCCCCAATCACAATGGCAGGGAGCTATCTCTCCCCTTCCCACCTCCTCACTTAGCCACACACCACCACTTCCCCTTTCTACTTGTAGAAGCTGTTCAACCTGTCCTTGGACCAAACCCATGGCCTCCTTTCTGCTATCCCCACAGCCAGCTCCCAAGCCACACCTCACATCTCTCTCACACCCACACCCCGACACGTAGAATGTTATCTGCCCAGTGATTTTCCCCTCTCTCCAAGCAATGCCCCCATCCCAAACCAGTGGGCCAAGGCCCTAGGCAGAGTATGGGAAAAGGTACCCTGCAGGAAGGGAAGGGGCACAGGGGTCCCAGGTGCTCCCACCCCTGCTCTTGCCAACTAGCAAGCTCTGGGGATAGGCTGAACACATATGCATCTCCAGACTTGTCTCACCTCTGAGAGCCTCTTCAAGACATTCTGTGCCCTCCCCCCACTGTGTAAAGATGGGCTGGTTCAACCCTCTGGTTTTAAAGACCTGAAGAGGGAAGGAGTGGCAGCCCAGGAGCCAGGTAAAACTGGAGGCCAAGCAAGTGTGAAAAGTTGGGGCTCCCTTTCCTGTGCTCTGTCTGCTATTCATGCTCCCTCACTAGTTGGGTTTCAAACAGCCAAAAATATCTGCTGACTCCACTGCCTGCAGATCACCGTGTTAAGCACTGTGGGGAAATTCTAAGAAAGGTGGGAGAGCATCCAGCACTCAAGGAACAAGCTGTCTGCTGAGGACAACTCTAGAGAGGAATGACCACGATGGGAGGTCTGTGATCAAACAGTTGACAGAACGACTATCTTGAGTGTCCAGATGGGAGGGGACTAATGGGACACAGCATGGGGCAATGGCAGCAAAGATAATAATTACAACAAATATACATTTACCATAGCACTTACAGGAGCCAGGCTCTGTTCTAAGTCTGCATGTGCATATACATTAACTCCTCTCATCCCTATAACCACCTGATGGAGTAGACATCACTGTTCCCACTTCACAGATGGGACGACTGAGGCACTGAGAGTTGAAGTCCACACAGCTAGGAAGAGGCAGGGCTGGGATTCAGATCCAGGCATTCTGTTCCAGAGTCCATGCCCTTACCTGCCAATTATAGCTCCCCTCCCAGTGTAAAGGAAAGGGTAGGGGTCAGCCTCTTCCCTGCTCTCCCCACGGGCACCAGAGTTTGAGTTCCTGCCCCTTTGCAGCCCCGTGACTCCGGGGAAGTTCACATCAATAAGCCCGCACACCTGAAGTGCTTCTCAGGTTTACAGCCTCTCCTTTATGATTTACCGTGAGGACCACGGCACTCAGCACAGGTCCTCCCACGAAAGGCACAAAATGAATTAGGGGCAGGGGGGAGAAGAAACTCCCCTTTTCCTGAACTGTTTAAAGATCTCCAAGCAATCTTTACTTTCCTATCTTTCCCTCGGTGGGGTGCAGAGGTCAAGGATACTGAAAAACGTCTCCACTTCCCAGCAGCTGGGCCTGCTGATCTGAGGCTCCCCTCACTAAGCAGTGGG